AATACTTACACTGCGATTGGCTGGCAACCGGTTCAGGGTGTCCCCCGTCGACTACCCGATGACATCTGGGATAGGCTCCAGCACCCCCCCGCGTCCCTAGTGAGGATGAAGCGGTTCGGAAAATGAATGAATGAAAAAAATACTCTCTCACACACACACACACACACACACACACACACACACACACACACACACACACACACACACCCCACCCCCACACACACACACACACGCACACACACACGCACGCACGCACGCACGCACGCACGCACACACGCACGCACGCACACACGTATTATATATCTGGCCACTCCAGAGCAATTTGCCGTCACGTTGCAGTAGCATCGCGACTGACATGAGTACGCGGAGGAAATCACAATTTTCCCACTTCCCACTCGAAAAAAAATGTATTTGAAACGGCTTGAGGACTTGAGTTCCTCCTTGCCAACTCAGGGGATTGCGATTTAGTGGCCTGTAAGTCATCGCATTTCACACAACAATGGCCGATGGACGATAAAAGCGTTCCATTTATTGGTTGTACTATTCAACACAAACAGATCGACATGGAAATTGCGCGCTGAGATCTCTGAATTTGAGCTGTGCAGGATAATGAAACAGCCGAAAATATTGGCACCCCTGTGTTTCCGTTTGATGCTGCATCACTTTGCCCAAAAAATTTAGCAATTTTATATTCTTTTTGTTTTTTTTTTTTTGTCCAGACCATTTTTGAAGCTCTCTGTGGAATGATCAGACTTGGCTTTTTTATTTTTCCTGTTAGTGTCACGTTGCGAAAATAAATAAATAAATAAATAACGTATCGTCCAAAACTACTCTGTATTGTAAGGTTGTTAGTTCAACTTTTAAAACTTATTGAAGATGCCAAAAAAGAAAAAATCCGCCAAAACTACTGTGCGTGTGTGGAGGATTTCCAAGCAGTCTCCAATGCAGCATTTAATTGGCGGGGGGGGCAAGCGACTGTGGTAGACTGTCGTGTTAAGATAGAACTGATTTAACAAGATGGATAGAGACCTGGCCTGAAAGCGCCGACAGGGCCTTTGAAGGCATCGGTTAATAGAGTCATCGGGCCAAAGCTACACAAGGAAATGATTTAGCCAGTGTAAACATGTGCTCACTTCAAGCTCTCGTTTGAAAGACTTTATTAACATCAAGCTCCTGGCTTTCAAATCAACATCTAAGGAGCGCAGGTCATCTCGGCTGGATTCACACCAACAACCTGCATGCTACAACGTAGACAGTATATTAAACGTTGCATAGGAGACCCTCCATTTTTCATCAGTGCTACGAGGAGGCCACATAGGACCACGCTCTTCCTAACCAGATGGATGACAAAAATTCTTTTGGAAAAATGGACAAAATATGTCCACGCGGTCTCTGAATGAATTTCATTTTTGATCATACTTTTTTTTTTTCAATGAATGTAGAAAAGATTGACTATCCTAATCCACATACGGTGCATTCAAGGGCAGCACAAAACGGCTGGAAAAAAAAACCTCATTGTGGAAAAAAATGGACAAAATATGTCCACGCGGTCTCTGAATACATTTCAGTTTTGATCATACTTTTTTTTTCAATGCATGTCGAAAAGTTTGACTATCCTCATCCACATACGGTGCATTCAAGGGCAGCACAAAACTGCTGGAAAAAAAAAACTCATTGTGGATCTTTTTGCATAAAAGTCAATGTCAAATTGTAATATTATTCAGGTCTATGACCCCGCATATCAGTCCAAATTAGCACAAAAAAAAATTATTAGGCCTACTCAGATTGTAGTGTAAGACCTAGTCAATGTCAAATTGTAATATTATTCAGGTCTATGTCCCGCATATCATTCCAAATTTGCAAAAAAAAAATTATTAGGCCTACTCAGATTGAAGTACAGGACGAACTACGCCAATTGTGCCACCCTGTGGTGAATGGTGATATTACAATTGAAAAACTACGATCACCCTGCATATTCAGAGGTTTGTATTGCCCACCCCCTGATAAAGACAAACAACCAATCACAATTTAGAATCTTCAATGAACTCATTGCAGTGTTTTGGGAAGGTGGAAGGAAGCCAGACTACCTACAGAAAACCCACACGTTAAAAACACGCCAAATACACAAAGGAACGCTGAGGCCAAGATTAAAACCCAGTTCACTTGGATTTTTTTTTTTCCCCACCACAAAAATTATTTTTTTAACAAAGCATGACAACAAGAATGAATGATAATGACTCACTGTCAAAGTTCATTAGCTTTCCGTTCCACAGAGCGCCGCACGCATCTAATGCATGCCTATAAATTCGAGGCCACACTCCTGTATTGGTTGTAATCAATTTAATAGGTAAGCCTTTTCGAAAAAACAATAAGCGCCATTTATATAGGCGTAGGTGATGCGCAGGCTCTATGTAGGGTGCGGTTTTCGTTCACATTCCTCATGATCTGAAGCATTTTCCTAATCAGCCAATTAATCATAATTTTACGAGTGTAATCTCTCTCTCTTAAGGTGTGTTCTACCTAATGGGTTTTACACATTCAACCCCATGCTCGGGTTTCTAAATCGATGGCTTGGCACTGTTCCAGTGACACCATCCAGTGTTAGGGTGGAGTGTTTTCATGGGGCTTAAACACTTTGAATAGAAATATATATAACCACCTCAAACCCATACAAAGTCAATTTAGCTTTTATCTGAACTCCCTGTAAATTTCTCATATCACATCAAGAGGGGAAATGGAAGGTCAAATGAAGTCAAAGTACTCATTTGGATTTGATAAGTTAAAAAATAAATAAATAAAAATATCTTCCGGGGAAAAAGCAAAGTAGATCATTCTACAAATATATTTAAAAAAATACATGAATAGCTGTTTCAGTCAAACACATACTGACTCATCATTCATTTCAATTGCAAATTGCTTTAACGTCAATACTTACAGGACATATGCCGTTGTGCAGTCTTACTGATGCATAAGTTACAAATGCATGTACTTCGACAGAGTTCTTTTCATAATTTTAATATCAGACAAGGAACCATAATTGGTTAGTGGGTGTTGATAAATGGACCTTGAGCCCAAGCTTGAGTGCTCTTTGTAGCAACTTGACGCAGACATTTTGGTTTTTGCTTAGGAACATTACTTTCCAATTCGCATAAGATGACCTAGAAGTACTTAGAGGGAAGGTTGTTCTCCAGTTACTTTGTGATTATAAAGCGACACACTTGACATGTACTATAGGCACCTTCAGTAGTGCAATAAAAACATCTCATTGCAACAGTGCATTCATGACATACACCAGAAGTCGACGTCACAACTCTGATCAGCACATGAATGTGTGAGCAGAATATCAGGAAAGCCTTGCTTTGTGTTGCGGGTGGCTGTTTTTCGCTAGCAATCAACTTGTCATAAATTGTCGACATTAAGCACGTGTAACAGTTTAAACACAACTTACATGGCTTGTTTGCCGAACATTAGAATCGGGCCTGCAGAGACCAACGTCATTACGTACGTCGGAACACCTGCTGCGTTTGCGTTTGCGTGCTCGCGTGCGTGCGTACGAGTCTAATGATGCGTTCAGGAGCGGCTCGGAAGTGCGCGTAACGGCATAATTAAAAAGAATGCAATTGTCTTAATGGCTGTAAAAGTGTGGGTTGGGTGTGTATGCGAGGTCAATTAGAGGGAGGGATGTATTCGGGGTGCTATTGTCTGCTTTGCTTGCCTTTTTATGGCGCTTCTGGCTCGTTGCGCGGCTATGCTTGGCGTTCCCTCGCTCATTCACACACCCGCCAAATCAAACTATTGGTTCTTTCATTAATTTTATCGTCACATGTTTTGGGGCACGGTGGTTGACGTTATAAGAAATAAAATACCAACATTACATTTAAGAAAGCCTACTGGAGATATTGAATTTTCACATCAACATAAATATAGTCTCTTTAGTGATTCTCACTTTTGGGATTGGTTCCAATTTAATCCGCAAGCCGAATGAGAACAAGCTATGCAGAAAATGATTTTTTTCTTTAAATATATTTTATTTTCACTTATTTGTTCTTTACTGCTTTTTATCTGGTATTACTGCAGTGGATCAAAAGTATTTCCCGCCATTCCTGGAATGGAAAAGTAGCACCAAAATTATTCCTAACTATATTAGGTTTCTTTAAATCACCGATTCACATTGTAACTTTGTAGATGTGACAGCCAGAAACAGTCCTCCACAGGTAGACTGACATAGAGAATTACAATATCTACTGGAGAATGGAAAGTGTGACCATGTTTTGGTTTGATCTCCCACTGATGCTGTATTTTGTTCATTGGCCACTAAAACGACAAGATTTTCGTGATTTCATCCAGTGGCAGGCTGACATATCTCATCATGAATTTTCTTCAGTATTGTTTAAAATCAGGGCCAGTGTCGGGGCTTGGATTAACATCCAAGACACAAACGAACAATTACAATTTACCACAGCGGCAGCAGATGTTTGACTTTGGAAACTGCCACTCCCTCGACACACAGGAAATGAACTATTTGTTTATTCATTTGCTCGGGCTCAAATTGAAAGTGTAGTGCAGGGTAATGATGCGGAAAAATGAAGCGCAAAAAAAACGATATAGGGTAAGTCGCTGCTGTATGCGACTAGTGAATGAGCTCTTCTATTGGTTTTGCTCTCAAAATGACACCGCTGGGTGCAGTGCGCTAAATGGAATTTCATTTGAGGATAAGGAGGCGAGCCGCTAGATGACCAGAGACACATGACATACTCTTGAGAGAGAGGTGAAGCAATCTTATTATACCTTGTCTTGTCCTATATGCACCGGTGCCAAGCTGACACATCACTTGGCTGCTCGCGTGTGCAATCGCTGCTGGCAATGACAACTGTGTTATATACCCTGCGGTGCTGACAGCTTTCTTTCTCCTCCTCCGATCCCACCATTGCTCTCTCCTTCCATCAACCCCACCCGCCCTCCTCTGAATCCTCCTCATTTCATCTCCTTCCTTCCTCCAGGCTGCGAAGTTGCCACGTGGCAAGAAGAAGGAGAAGGAGGAGGAGGAGGAGGAGGGCTGGCGATTGGCAAGGATGGATATTCAACCTCCTCCAAGAGCCTCCCCACGGGGATGCCGGCGTAGGACGCAAGGCCTCACGGGCCGTTGTTGACCTGCTGTCTTGGTGATTGATGGCGGCTCCGGGAGGGGGGGAGGCTCCGGGCCACTGCAGACTCCTCGCTCTCTCCTCCGTTTCCCTTCACTCATACGCTTGCGCCGCCATCCGCAGGAGCCCTCAGATCTGACGCTCGGGAGGGGCGGACGCAGCGAAATCAATGGAAGCGCGCCGAGTAACGAAGTGATGTTCCTGCGCTCGCGTGCCCATACCGCGCACTGCTCTGCCTCCACGTAGCGGGACGTTCCCGGCGAAAGGCAATCCCCCTAAAGGTGTAACGTGCGAGTGAGAGCCCCGAGGTGCCCTCGCCATGGTGTTGCCGCCTCCCGACAAACGCCACGTGTGCTTGACCACCATTGTCATCATGACCAGCATGGCCCTGATGGACGCCTACCTGGTGGAGCAGAACCAGGGTCCCAGGAAGATCGGCGTGTGCATCATCGTGCTGGTGGGGGACGTGTGTTTCCTCATCGTGCTGCGCTACGTGGCGGTGTGGGTCGGGGCCGAGGTGCGCACGGCTCGGCGGGGTTACGCCATGATCCTCTGGTTCCTGTACATCTTCGTGCTGGAGATCAAGCTCTACTTTGTCTTCCAGAATTGCAAGGCCGACAGGAAGAGTCTGGAGACGGTGGCGCGGAAAGCGTTGACGTTACTTTTGTCGGTGTGCGTGCCGGGTTTGTACTTGGTTCTGGTGGCGCTGGACAGCATGGAATACGTCAGGACTTTCCGCAAGAAGGAGGACATGCGAAGCCGTTTGTTCTGGGTGGCGCTGGACTTACTGGATCTTCTGGACATCCAAGCGAATCTGTGGGAGCCCCAACGCACGGGCCTCCCCATCTGGGCCGAGGGCTTGATGTTCTTCTACTGCTACATTTTGCTCCTCATCCTGCCCTGCGTGTCGCTCAGCGAGATCAGCATGCAGGGCGAGCACATGACCCCCCAGAAGATGATGCTCTACCCGGTCCTAAGCCTGGTCACCATCAACGTGGTCACCATCCTGATCCGAGGCGTCAACATGGTGCTGTTTCAGGACAGCCGCGTGTCCACCATCTTTGTGGGCAAGAACGTGGTGGCCATCGCCACCAAGGCGTCCACCTTCCTGGAGTACCGCAGGCAGGTCAAGGAGTTCCCGCATCCGCAGAACGCCATGGCCATGGAACTGCAGCAGAACTCGGTGGGCCACACGCAGACGCTCCCCAACGCCACCGCTTTGCCGCACGAACCCACGCCGGCGCAGGACGTCATTGACACATGACCGCCAGCATCTCGCCGCTGGAATGCGCACCAAACGGCGTCATGGAATTTCCACGTGAAATCGGACAACAACACGGTACCTTGGTTTTCGAGTGAGTTTTTCCAGTTCGTCAAGAACGAAAAATTTATTTACAGGCTTCGCGTCTTGGAAGAAATGATCCTCCGAAGCCAGGGTACTACTGTATTGTGTTTAAAAGTTCAGACTGTGCTGAGAGACTCCAAACCCAGCAGCCGGGGAAATTTATGTCGTGTAAAAATTGGTCCTCTCTCTGTAAGTGTCTTTTTTTTTCTTTTTTTTTTCTTTTTTTAAAAGGTCACCAGTACCAGCACCAAACGAGGGAACGTTTAGCTTCCCCGTTTGCCTCCAATCGGGGCAAAAGAGGAGCAGATGGTGACAAATGGCCACGGCGAGCAGGCGGCCTGCGCTTCGGCCACGTGCGCTTGTGTTGTGTAACTTGTAGAAGCCGACGCCTCGGGCGGTTTGATGCTTTGGAACTATGGGTCGGAGTAAAACAAGCACTCCAGCGGCACTGGACCGTCGACTGCGCACACAAACACACAGTGTGCATCGCCCCGTGAGCGCGAAAGAGCATGCGCACTATTCGATATAACGTACGCCTCCGAGTGCGTTTGTGCGCAAAGGTGTGCTTGTTTACCACCGGGGGATTTGTTTATGACGGATCATTTTGTAATACAAGTGTGTCTGTTGGTGTGTGAAGTGCAAATGGGATTAATCTATTTGTTGATGTCAGGTAAAAAAAAAAAAAAAAAGGAAAAAAGGGAGGGGGTGATTTTATTTCTCAACTGTACATTCCTCTAAACGTCTCAAACCTTGAAATGAAAGAATAAATTATCAGAGTGACAAAAAAAAAAAAAAGCAACTTAAACAAGCTGAACAGACTTTTATTTCGTTCATTATGATTTGTTTTGTTCTTAATATTGTTGTTGTTATGATTATCCTGTATATTATTTACGAGCGGGAGGCCAATGATGTTTGAATAAAAGAACATTGCCGACAATATTGTTCCTGGTTTTCATATTGTTGGTGAAGAGGAATTGAATCTGGAGTCTGGCAGTTGGATTTCGTACACAAATTAATGCAATGACGTACTGTACTATGATGGTGAATGACTGGTTAGCACGTCCGCCTCGCAGTGCAGATGTGCAGAGTTCGATCCCGGCTGCGGCCTTCCTGTGTGGAGTTTGCACGTTCTCCACGTGCCGACGTGGGTTTTCTGTGGGTATTCCGGTTTCCTCCCACATTCCCAAAATAAATGCATGGCAAGTTAATGGAACACTTCCTCACTTAGTAGGCATCGACACGCCTGGCATTGAGTGAATTGCATCATTTACCCATTTTATCAATATGCAAAAGTTTCAAACTCTCTGCCAGTCTTCACATTTTAAAATGATGACTTTTACGATAACATTCCTAGAAAATCACAATGTCCCACTGGTCAACTATTTTTAGAACAAGCTCACGCGCTACTTTGGGGGTCCTGCTGGCACCACATTTGACTCAGGCTCGAAATTGTCCATAAATATGCTGCCAAGTTGTGCCAAACTCTTCACGAAAACATCTTCCCGGTAGCTTTAATTACATTTTCTACTAAATTCCCTCCCTAAGTCGCTAACTGATGCAAAAATAATTAAAGAGCGCTTTTTAACACATCACCTCGGATTTCCCAGCACGGCATGAAAGATTTTATCTTCTTTATATTCGCGCCATGCCCGCAAAAAATCTGGCCCAGCAGACATTTAAGTGGCAACCATAAAAAATCGATGGCTGCCAAACAGACAAAGCGGCTTTAGAAACCCTCGTGTAGAAACTTGCCAAGCAAGCAACAGTAGAAGACCGGCGGCAAAAAAAAAACGTAGGGCATCGCTCAGTGTCACGTAATTGCTCGCAGATGTCTGAGGCTTCGTGTAATGCTCCCTCTTCCTCATTTGGAGGAAAATGTCAACTTGTATTTTGGGCCAGAACGCAACGATTCACAACACGGCCCTGTTTGCTTTCTGACCGAGGAGTGCGATGCTTTTTTTTTTTTTTTTTTTTTTTTTTTCTGG